AAGGTCAGTCAGACCTATAGCACTGATTGATGCTGAATCACCTCTGGTTGAATTAAAGCTGCTTACATAGGGGCAGGGATGAGTTCTTACTCATCTTTGTACCTGCAGCCTGGAGCACAGGTGCCCAATAAATGTTTATTGAGCTGAGCCCTTAAATCTCCGAGAACTTGGCGTGGGGCTGAGATAAATGTGATCCCATAATACTCAGGGCAGCCCTTCTATCAGGGCTGACACTTTCACAAAAGAATGCGATGATCTCTTTAATCGCTTTTCATGACTGTCTTCCTGACCTGGGAGGGTAGAGATCATCTTTCAACTTATATCCTCAGCACCTAACACAGTAAGAAGGAGGGAGAGGAACGGAGACAAGGAAACAGGCAAACCCCGTTCAGTGCTTGATATCCCGAAAGATCCTAATCCAGCCCGGTACTGAGGGTGAGTTTTCTGTTCAACATGTTTGAATTTTACATGTTAAAATTACATCTTGAAACTGAATTAGGGTGACAGTTGCACAACCCCGTAAATCTAAAAATCATTGAATTACATACTTAAAATAAGGGGATTTTGTGGCATGTAAATTACACCTCAAAAAACTTGTTTAAAAACATTGAAGTAGGACCCCATGTTTAGATAGCTTTCGCAGGCTGTCAGTGATAAGCCAAGGAGCAGTCTTTAACCAAACACATTATCATCCTTCCTAATGGATGTTTAAACCAAATTGATCTGCAAATTTACTCTTCCCTTATGGGATATTATTAGCCACCTTAAAGTATATATAGTCTTAAAAAAGTCTAAAATGTCTTAAAGTATATTTATTATAAAATAGCATATTAACAATGATTGTTAAAGATCATGCATATTTCAAAACTGGTTTTTACAAAAACTAGTCCCAATGGACTTATTATTCTGGTATTCGAAATGAGAAAGGTACTACTATGTCTAACATACTGTCTACTCTCTTAACTCTTTAGAACCCAGTGCTATCTAAGGGCAGTGAAGCCTCATCTACAACAAAATACTGAAGTATTTTGAAAACTCCAAAGGATTTTAATAGGAAATATATCCAGATTGCTTTTCTAAAAGTAGAGATGAGTTGAAGAGAGAGCCATCTCTATTTTTTGTAACCTCATCTTTGATATACACAACACACATTCCAAAACACCTGACTAGAATTATGTGACCACAGTCAGGAGTGATAGTCCACACATTTAACAACCTGTAGGCACAGGTCTCCACCAATCAGTTTGATGATGACCATAAACAATCAGTATGCCCATTATGGTGTGTCCTGGTTGAATGTCAAACTTAGACTTGATGCCAAAGTCCTCTGGACACCCTCCTCAACAACAGGTATCTGCTGTTTTCTTATCATGTTTGTACAGTTTGGGGTTGAGCAAGATCCTCAGATCCACCAGTAAATTGCTGGTGTCTCTGCTATAAGTATGGTAGGGGGAAATCCTCATAAACTGAACTCCATTCCTTGTACAATCAACATGAAGACACTGTTGTCACTCCCTAATGAATTGGAGTGACCACATGTGATCAGCTGGGGAAGGGCTGGAATGTTTAGTCCCCTCTCTCCCACTGTCCTCACCTCCATCATCTGTTCTAGTCTCCTTGCCCCAGGTGTACCCTGACCTTCTGCCACCCACAAGGTTCCCATTGTCCTTATTTTTCCTTTCCATTGGCTGTCAGGCTCCTGGTATCCACTCGGCATCTTCCCTCATCTGGCCACTAAACCTGTTACCAGACAGCAGAATGGTAAAAGGAGCAAAAGAACCAGGAGGTTCCACCGCCATTTTTCAAGACCCAAGTCTGAGTCCAGTGCCTTGCCCTGCTGGTCCCCAGGAGCTGGCTCCAGTGCCCCCAGGATCCATTCTTCTGTACTCCATCCCTAAGCTGCAACTCCCCTACGTGGACCTGGCACCCCTGTACCTGCTCCAGGTCAAGACCTAGCTTTACCCAGCCCCTTCACTGGACTGTCTCTCTTGGCCAACACTTGCCCTCATCATTCAAACTCAAGGAAACCAAGCAACTGTTTCTGCTGCACCTGGATCTAGAGGAACAAGTCAGGACACCCTCTAGTGGTCAGGAGGAGAAGTGGCAACCTGTGCACGGTGCCCAGAGGTCTGACCCTCGTAGAGGTCAGCCCTGAGCCATGCTAATAGGACGTTCTTCATGTAGCTCCTACCTCTTCCCACTTTAATGTTTTTCCTCTGCTATTCTTTCCCAGTGGGTGGAATGTGCTGGGAGAGGGGATGGAGTAAAGACCTCCACTCAATTTTCAACATTTTTCCTTCTAGTTTTTCATAACTTCTTATTAACATTGTTC